ATTAAAAAAAAAAAAAATCATCTAAAAATAAAAAAATAAAAAAATAAAAAAAAAATAGAGAAGAGAATCCACAAGAAAAAAAAAATAAAGTAAATCAAGGAAGAAGAAGAAGGAAAAAACGGAGGAGGAGAGGAGAGGGAAGGCCGGTGGTGCAAGAGCGAAGAAAGAGAAGAGGCATCATCATGGGCGCGAGCTCTCCACTGGAGGAGGCGAGGCGGTCGAGGAGGCGGAGACAAAACCCGCTACGTGCGAGGCCGACTCATCAGGGGGGGAGGGGGGGTAAGGGAGAAGGGGAGGGAGGAGGACGGGGAGGGTGTAGAAGGGGTGGGGAGAAGGGGGGTGGGAGGGGAAGGGGAGAAGGGCGGAGGAGGGGAGGAGAAGGGGGGTGGAAGGGGAAGAGGAGCAGGGCGAGGTAGGAGGGAGGGGAGAGGAGTTGGGAAGGGGGGGGGGGGTGTTGGGGGTGGAGGAGGTGCTGCCTAAAAAGACAGACGACAAAGAGCCGGAAGTATCGGGATCCGAACCAGGTATTGTGGGGGGTTGGGGGGAGATAAATCTTCGGTGGGGGTGGGGGGGAGGGGGGGAATAAGATGTCCGACGAGGGGGAGGGGATAACATTGCACAAGTACTTGCACGGAGAAAAGAGGGGGGGGCGGCGAGGGGAAAGTAGCGAAGTGAAAAAATAATAGATAAAATAAAGGGAGAGGAAACAAATAGAATATGGAGGTGATCCCTGACGGGGAAAAAAATCCATTCTGAGAAAAAGGAAATGAAGTGAGGAGCTGGAATGGGGGAGGGGGGGAAGAGGAGTTCACAATAAAAGAAAAAGAGGGAGGCAAGAGGGGGAGGGTGTCTCAGAAGATCCAAGGGGGGGGAGGGGGGGAGAGGTGAACCTGGAGACGCAGAAAGACTATCGGCCTAGGAAGGGCAGGGGGTAGGGGGGAGGGGAGTGGATCTAAGAAGATTTACCAAAAGGAACTGATTTGTCTAAGAGGGGAGGGGGCGGAGGAGGGGACGCCGAGCCTCGAAATGTTTCTGGGAAAATTAAGAAACATGATAAATAACGAGAAACGGGACAGAAAAAGGAGGAGAAAACTTCATAATGTGAATATATACCCGTACATACACCTTACACAATTACACGTTCATATACACAGGAAAAAAAAAGAAACATGTGTCAGGCAGACGAAGCTAGACGAAAAAGGAGAGAACAATATATGTACATAACACCCACGTATATTTAAACAGACACCCTACATAATTACACGCTCATATACCTCCAAAAAGGGGTAGAAACAAAGGGTGCATGTAACAACAAAAAGTGAGATGCACAGAAGAACTAGGTCACGACACTGAACAGAGAGAACAAAAGGTGAGGCAGCCTTAAGGACGGGATTGGGAAGGGGAGAGAAAGAGGAAGAGGAGGAGGAGCAGGAGGAGGGTCTCCCAGCTCCAGAATTGGGTAAAGGAGATAGGAAGTGTGTCTACGGAGAACTTTTTTAGGCCCCGGAACGACTAAAAACTTTTAATAGGCTTTTAACGGCTTTAACTTGTCCGGGAGATATCGATAACCGTTGAACTTCGGCTGGCGAGAAGCGAAGAAGCGAAGGGAAGCGCAGAAGTAAGAATTGGTGTACGGATAACAATTGCAAAATCCTGCACGTGAAAAGGGGTTAAATCTAATAAGGTGTTTGACATGGATAACTTGGAAACTGGAACAAATGAAGAAGAGAGAAAAAGTGTAAAAGGAATTTAAAAGTTTGGGAGAAACAATGTCGAAGATTTAAAAAGAAAGAAAGATAAAGAACGAAAATAAAGTTTACCAGATTTCCAGAACCGCTGCGAGACGATAGGTACAAAAAGAAAAGAAAAGTAAAAAAAAAAAAAAGAAAAAAAAGAAATAGGATCATAATCTTACAAAATAGAGATTTACGAGGAAGTCACTGGCCGCCAGATACTCAAAACTATTTTTTCGATATAAAAAGACTGAGTTATAGATAATAAAACCTGCCGATATTTACACTCTAAAGAAAATCAACTGGAAAAAATATTAACCCAGCGCCTTTCGGTTCACGTTATTTTTTGAAAAATGGCGGGAGAAATCTCTCCATATAGAAAAGGTCCAGAAGACTTAGCCGGAGTAATGAAGTTGACGCTGGCTATAAGAAATTCCGCTCTCGCCAGGGCTCCCTCTCACCTTCAGGAGAATATCAATCGCATCCGTGGTTTAGCTCCCGAGGTTCTGCTGCCGCGGCTCCGAGCTCCTCGGGCCTTCCCGCGGATCTCTCCCTCGGCTCTGTGCGTGTGTGAATATAATATATATATATATATATATATATATATATATATATATATATATATATATATATATATATATATATATATATATATATATATATGTGTATATATATATACATGTATTTGCGTATGTATATTGTATAAATATATACATATATATATATATATATATATATATATATATATATATATATATATATATATATATATATGTATATATATATATATATATATATATATATATATATATATATATATATATATGTATATATACATATATATATATATATATATATATATATATATATATATATATATATATATATATATATATATATATATGTATATGTATATATATATATATATATATATATATATATATATATATATATATATATATATATATATATATATATATACATGTATTTGCGTGTGTATATTGTATATATATATATATATATATATATATATATATATATATATATATATATATATATATATATATATATATATATATACATGTATTTGCGTGTGTATATTGTATATATATATATATATATATATATATATATATATATATATATATATATATATATATATATATATATATATGTATATATACATATATATATATATATATATATATATATATATATATATATATATATATATATATATATATATATATAAATATATATATCTATATATATATATATATTGACATTGATATTGATATTGATATGCGCATGTCTGTTTGAACGAACTGATATGTAATATTCATAGATAATAAATGCCTGTTTTCGAATGCTCCCAGATGTCTCAGAGCGTCGGATGCCGGGCGGCCGAAAGAGGCGAAGCAAAGTAGACTGTGCCGCGACCGAATGCTCATATTTCCCGAGGCATTTTGCAGGGAAATAAATTGGAAATTGAAATAACCGTATAACTAAAAGCTTGTGCAAAGCGAGCCTTGAACACCAAGATAAGCGCAAACATACTAATTCTCCCTCTCCCCCCTCGGAAACAAACATAAATATTCATTTATCTATTCAAATGCTCCCCGCGCCTACAGCAATATTTACTTTCCTTCGCCGCCTGTATACATTCCTTCACCCACCCATCCAGCACCGTTGCTCAATATGCACAAGTCAAGAAGTCACAACAAACGTTATTCATTCACCTTCTCAAGCGCTCCCCACAGCCGCTTCCACAACCCACTTATTCTCCCAAAGCCCATTCTCAACGAGCGCAAAAAAAAAACACAAAAAAACGCGGCTCCCAAAACGCTTTTCACCACCGATTTAACAGCACTATCATCAAGGCCAAGTATTTCGTGTAAGGTATGACATGCAATCCACACGGGCACATCGTTAGGCGCGGCAGTACACGTCACCAAGCGACGCGCAGTCTGACGAGCCCGAGGACGTCAAAGCCGAGTGCAACTAACGCTTCTTAGTAAACACGCGGGTTTTGCACGTGACACGGCGTGGATGAAACCGTCGGTACATCAACAGCTCGACAACGCCAGCTAACAAGAAACCACTGAAGGATATATCTATATTGCTATCATTATTACTATTATTGTTGTTGTTATTATAATCATTATTATCATTTTCATTATTGTTATCGTTATTATTATTATTGTTATTATCATTATTATTATTATTATTATTATTATTATTATTATTATCTTTATTAAAGTTTTTATTGTTATTATTACTATTATTGTTGTTATTGTTGTCATCATCATCATTATTATTGTCTTTATTTCTACTACGATTATCATTATGATAATCATTATGATCATTATTGTTATTATCATTATTATTATTATCATATTTATTATTTTCATAATCAATATCATTAGAATCATTAGTACCGCTATCATTATTATTTACTATCATTATCTATTTTTTTATTATCAATATTATTTTTATTGTTATTATCAACCTTAGTATCTTTATCATTATCGAAATTACTATTACTATCACCATTGTCATTAATATCGCTACTGCTGCTACTAATACTACGACTATTACTACTACTACTATTTTTGTACTACTATTACTACTATTTTTACTACTGCTACTACTATTACTGTTATTATTCCTGTTATTACTACATTATCATCACCACTGCCATCATCATTAGCAATATCATATTATATCATTGTCAACACCTCGGTGTAAAAACCTTTCTGGACGTCTTCGATTTTTTTCCGAGAGGATAAATGATTGTCTATTTGCAAATTTATCAGATAATTGTATTAAAGCCACGAGTGTCTCCTTGTCTTCCTTTGCATATATAGGGTAGGCGTTCCAGCTGTTTCCTGCCGCGGCGAAATCAGGCTTTTGCATAGATTACCTACTCTCCTTGAGGATCTTTACTGCATATACCTATCGCGTGTAGAATATCCTTAAATCCTACCCTTACTTACGCATGTACATCTCCCTAAATCCTACATTTACACTGTTCACAACCAGCCACCCCGTCGACTAACCAGTCCACAACCAACCACCCCGTCACCTAACCAGTCCACAACCAACCACCCCGTCACCTAACCAGTCCACAACCAACCACCCCGTCACCTAACCAGTCCACAACCAACCACCCCGTCACCTAACCAGTCCACAACCAACCACCCCGTCGACTAACCAGTTCACAACCACCACCCCGTAAACTAACCAAAAGCTTTCCTCCTCCTGCAGAGTATGTGTACAAGCACTGTGACGCGTCGGGGCGGTGGGCTGGCAAGAGCCCGGGGGACTTCAGCCTCCCGCAGGGCTGGACCAACTACACGGTCTGCTTCTACGAGGAAATCCAGAAGTTGATGAACGACCTGTACACACGGTCGGAGGAAGACGCACAGGTATAGTGGCACTCGGGCTGGGGGTGGGGTGGGGGTGGGGAATAGGAGTAGTAACATGGGGGGGGGGCAGGAAGTGAGATAAAGATACCGATGGATAGATTTATGGGTGAACGATAGGTTGAAAACTAGTCATATATAGATGGAGAGGGAGAGAGGAAAGAAAGGAAAGGAGAGAGGGGGGAGGGGGAGCGAGAGGAGGGGGGGGGGAGAAAGGAGAGAGAGAGAGAGAGAGAGAAAGAGAGAGAGAGGGGGGGGGTAAGCAAGAGAGAGGCGAGCAAACGGGCAAACATAAATTAAGAATCATTTGACATCTGTCAAATCAAGAATTGTTAAGTAGGTGTCATGGATATATGGGTGACTTAGGTGGCATATAGATAATAGTGTATCTCAATTGGTTACATCATATTTGTTATCATCAGCTTCATATTATAGCCATAACATCTTCGTCAGTGTCATCTTCGCCATTGTCATTATTATATCATCCTTACTCTTACACTCATTATAATCATCATGATCACCATAATTGTCAATTTCATTATCATCACATTATCATCATCATCACTGCCACCCTTATTTCCATCCCCATCACCATCATCACCATCACCACAGTCGTCGTCATCGCCATCATCACCATCACCACAGTCGTCGTCATCGCCATCATCACCATCACCACAGTCGTCGTCATCACCATCATTACCATCATTGATGTCAGTATCACTTAAGTATTAAATGCCTACGATTTTTTTTCCGCAGTCGAAGCTGGACATCGCCCATGGCACGCGAATCATGGAGATGGTGGGCCTAAGTCTCTCCCTGACATCCCTCTGCATCTCCCTCGCTATATTTTTCTACTTCAGGTAAGCAGTTTCTTCAGTAGTAGAACGAGAATTACGAAGAAAAACGAAAACACACACAAAGAGATGAGGAGAAAGACAGTGACATTTCGAGTCGAGCTTATATTCCTTTTTTAAATGGAATCGCCTGTTTCGGGTAAGTGGGTTTGTGGTTATAAAACAGAGAGTGAAAACCTTATACATTAGGACTTTTCAATACAAATAGACTCCTTTTCAAATGAAATCGTCTACATCAGTTAAGTTTATCGTTACTGAATCTCAGCCACAACGATTATAGAAAGGTATAAAAAAGACATGACTTTTCGAGAATAATTATTCATAAAAAGAGGGATAGCCGTAATATTTGTATATATTTTTTATCGTTTTATTTTCTTATTTTTTTTCCTCATAGCCCGACGATGATGATGGTATTACCATAGACGTTATTGCACGGTCTGTCTCACTGATTAATTTCAATTTGCAATTCATATGCTTTCATATTTTACGTCGGTTTTGCAATATGCAAAGAAAGAATATTCCACGAAAAATGTGGGGAAATTTGTTGCATGAATATTCAAAGTTTGCAACTGATTGGGCATGATGGGCAAGATGCAATCATTCGTACCAAACTAGTATTTGAAATAGGTGGATTATTCCTTCAATAAAAGGTCTATTATCAAGGCAGAGGTTGTCAGAAAACCAAAATATTTCCATGACGAAACTGTTGACTCTAAAAACATTTTTGACCTTTCCAACAATCGCAAGATAAACTTTTTGAAATCTTTTAGTAAAATATTTCAGGTCTGTGCTCCACGTGCTATTTTGCGACAAATATTTAAGTTTTGAGTGTTTGTCGACTTCCATCACAGTATGTGCAACGTGTGCGTGTGCGTGTGTGCGTGCGCGCGCGCGCGCGCGTGTGTGTGTGTGTATGTGTGTGTGTGTGTCTGTATATGTGTGCCACAAATACCGTAAGTTCTACAGTCAAAATAATGTTGAAATTTCAAAACATATATTTGTAATGTATTAGACTATGCTGCAGATCAAATTGATATCTATTCATATGGAAAATAGCTCAAGACACTCTTTTGATGTTGAAATGGGTGTACCACTTACATTTTAACTAGTTAGGGTTTGCGAGCCTGAGAGCATACAAACACACATACACACACACACATATATACATGTGTGTGTGTGTGTGTGTGTGTGTGTGTGTGTGTGTGTGTGTGTGTGTGTGTGTGTGTGTGTGTGTGTGTGTGTGTGTGTGGGTTTACCCATATGTATGTGTCTATGTACGTATGTATATTTCTCTCCCAACATACATTATATATAACTCTGTAAATATCTTTATCTGTAAATCCAACTTGACTCGGCGATATGAGAGTCCCTCCCCTTCCCCGCCCTGCCCCGCGTCCCGGCGCAGTGCCCTCCCGCCCCGCCGGCTTCCTCCTGCGGGCGCCGAGGGAGCGCCCCGGCGGACGTCGGCCGCGGGGCAGTGGCGAGGGTCACGCAGGTGAGGACTTGTGGCGGGAGAGCCAGGGCGCCGCTCGGCCCGCGCCCTTCTCCACCACCTGAGGCTAGAGTTAAAGGCGATAGGCCAGCGCACAACGTGGCCCTTTCCTTTGCCAGCGACAAAAAAGGAAACTTTTTTCTTGAAAAGTTATTTTATCATTTTTCCCCTCTCTCGTTTCCTCTGTCTCCTTTCCTCTCTCTCTCTCTCTCTCTCTCTCTCTCTCTCTCTCTCTCTCTCTCTCTCTCTCTCTCTCTCTCTCTCTCTCTCTCTCTCTCTCTCTCTCTCTCTCTGAAGCCTTAATCAAATGTAAACAGGTCATGTCTTCAAGGAGCTTGGGATACTTTGTCTTCTACGATACTAGGAAGTAGAATTTGGGCAACATTTTCAAATCAAACATAATTATACAATTATCTATACGAATACCGAAAAAAGAAACTCTACGACACTTTTTTTTAGCGGCGGAGTACACGTGTAAGATGTGGTCACTTTTTTCTTTCTTTCATTCTTATCGATCAAGATTCTAGCAACATTGAGAGCTGGCATTCGAAAGAGGCTAGGCTTTTTTCCTTGGCCACTCGCTCTCTCTATCTTTCTATCTATATAACTATTTCGGTCTCTCTCTCTCTCTCTCTCTCTCTCTCTCTCTCTCTCTCTCTCTCTCTCTCTCTCTCTCTCTCTCTCTCTCTCTCTCTCTCTCTCTCTCTCTCTCTCTCTCTCACTCACTCTCTCTCTCTCTATCTATCTATCATCTACAGACACACACACATATACACACACACACTCACATACACAAACACGAACACACACACACAGAAACATACACAAACACGAACACACACACACACAGAAACATACACAAACACGAACACACACACACACAGAAACATACACAAACACGAACACACACACACACAGAAACATACACAAACACGAACACACACACACACAGAAACATACACAAACACGAACACACACACACACACACAGAAACATACACAAACACGAACACACGCACACACTCGCTTTCATCCTCCCTCGCTCATTACCTAAGCCGCCCTCTCCCTTCCTTCCACGCCACCTCTTAACCATTCACCTTCGTTCCCTCGCTCTCAGCCTCCGTCACTCTTTCCCCTCACCCTCTCCTCCCCCTTTCCCGTCTTCCATTCCCCCTAAGATATTCTCGTCACTCTATTCCTCATTCTATTCGTATTATGTATGAACCTTTCCTTTCCTCTCCTCTCTTTTTAACCTTTTTTATTATTCCCTTTCCTTCCCCTCTTCCCTTCTTCTCCCATCTTGCATTATTCTTTAAGCATTCTCCTCATTCTCTTCTCCTTTACCCTTCTCTTCCCCTTCACTTGAAGCGTTCTCCTCACCCTCCTTCTCTCTCTCTTTTTCCTCCTCTGTCCTCAATTCCAAATACTTCCTTCACCCTCTCCTCCTCCCCCTTTCCCCTTCCCTTCCATTTATTCAAATCCTTTCCCTCACTCGCCTCTTTTATTCATCCTTTTACTCACCTCTTCTCCCCTCCTCTTCCCCTGACGCTCCTGTCTTTAACTCAACATTCCCCTCACTCTTCTCTCCTTTTCCTTTCTGCTTCCTTTTCGTCCACTAGCTATCTGCTTACTCTCCTCTTCTCGCTCTCTCTCTCCTCCTACCATCAACTTCAAACATTCTCCTCACTCTCATCTCCTCCCCTTCCATCTACTCAAAGTCTTCCCCTCACCCCCCCCCCCTCCCCCCTCTTCCCCTACCCTTCCACCAACTCCAAACGTTCCCCTCCCCCCCCCCCTTCCTCCCTCCTTCGCCTTTTATGACTTCTCTCCCTCGTCCGAATGCTTGGCCGCTGATTCTCACTCCTCCGGCCGGTGCTCACGCTCCTCTCCTAAAACTAACTTCGAAGCAAGTCCGAGTCTCTAGGACTTAGATATATACAGTGTACATAAGGTATAATGTATTAGTGTGTATGAATAAATGTGTATATATATATAAAGGTAACTAAGCACCCCAATCTCTTCCAGACAAAGGATAGATAAAAAGATAACAGTCTAATTTGTCTTTTGAAACTAAGAGAACAAATGCTCCTTCAGTGGCCCTTTGAAATTCGGAAATGGCTTTCCTTGCACAGATACTGAGATACCGGCGCGGGAGACTGTGTTTTAACGTGGGGAAAACTTTGAAAGATTTACGATACAGATGCTTTTACAAGACACAGAATTCTGTCTCTGTTCTTCACCGAGATATGTGTTATTGTTATCTGATATTGTTTATTTTTTTGTGTAAAGATGGTATCAACGTATATATCAATCCTAAACAATATGGCAATGTGTATTATGTATAAATACGATGATTAGATCCCGCACGAAGTCATTTTGAAAGTATTTTGAAAATATAACGTTAAGTTATCCCGGTGTTATATTTCGATATATATATATATTTTTTACAAAGTTATACACGGTGGCTTTAGAGTTCGCACAAGAACAATTATTCTGACATCAGGCCACGACAAAGGAGAATACTTCAGAGGTACTTTCCAGTATAAGTGGCAAACTTATATAAGCTTATGTAGAGTTCATATATAAGATGTCAAACTATTTTTCCTATTGGACAGCGCACCCGAGAAGAAAGTTGCAGAATTGCTATTCCTTTAAACTCGAAGAATGAGCTAGAGAGATTATATAAGGTATTTCAATCCTTTTCGTCTTGCTATTCGTCTTGGAGTGTTTCGATTATCGAGTTGTGAGAGAGCCGGGCTGACTCTCACTCTCCCTGGCACCCATCGGGATAAAAAGAGAGTTTTTTCTTCGGACGTTTTCACTTGAGGAGTTTCATATTGTGCGAGTTTTATAGGCGTATATTTGTGTGTGCGTGCTCCTGTTTGTCCTTTTTGGTTGCATTTTAGTGTGTGTGTGTGTGTGTGTGTGTGTGTGTGTGTGTGTGTGTGTGTGTGTGTGTGTGTGTGTCCGCGTGCGCGCGAGTGTGTGTGTATGTGTGTGTGTATGTGTGCGTATGTGTGTGTGTGCGAGCGAACGAGAAAGAGAGAGAGAGAGAGAGAGAGAGAGAGAGAGAGAGAGAGAGACAGACAGACAGACAGAGAGAGAGAGAGAGAGAGAGAGAGAGAGACAGACAGAGAGAGAGACAGACAGAGAGAGAGAGAGAGAGAGAGAGAGAGAGAGAGAGAGAGAGAGAGAGAAAGAAAGAGAGAGAGAGAGAGAGTTCTCTCTCTCTCTTACTAATTATGCTGAGTAATATCCCATGGGTAGCTTACGGGACGACTGCCGTTGATATTAATCTAAATCGAGACTTGACATGATTTAAGTAATGAAGTTATTTTGATTGCTTTTCCTTACAGAAGACCGAGTTGGAATATTGATACTTACCTTCACTGCACCGCAACCATTTTCACCACAGATCGCCTTCAACACTCCATCATAATCTTCTATATTTGCAACGTCATTCTTCACTATGTTAATTCATGCTCTCCTCATCTTCATTATATTTCATCATTTAA